GGGTCGTTGCTTTTTCTAATTTATGTAAGCGACGTAAGTAAAAACATCAAAACTTCAATCACACTGTTTGCAGACGAGAGACCTAACAATCATAGAAATTTGATCTAAAAAATGAGCATTGGAACAAACAGAACTCAGTATTATTATGCCATTAATGAAAAGAGCTTACAACATGTAGAAGAACAGAAAGACCTTGGAATTCCAACTTGAAATGGGAGACACATATTTCAAAAGTAGTTAAACAGGTTAATTCTCTGGTGTTTTGTATGAAGAAGGCCTTTCTTAATAGATCATTTCAGGCCATAGAAAAACTTTATAAGCCTATCATTCGTCCAAAATTAGAATATAGTCAGACAAGATGGGATCCCTACTTTATTAAAAACATTCAAATACTCGAGCAATCCATTTATCTAATGATTCCTATGAGGAAATACTTGTAAAACTGAATTAAATAACCTTGAAAGAAAGACAAGTTACGTGGCGATCTAATTGAGACTTAGACGATGATACAAAACTATTACTCATGTAAACTGCGCATCTTTCAAAATGATCCGAATATCCATCTACGAGGTCACTCTAAAAAATTAACCAAAGAAAAGATTGCCAAACTGCAGAGAAAAAACTTCCTATGCAACAGAGTGCTGTATACCTGGAACTCCCTGTCGGAACAAGTTGACAGAGAATTGCACCATCTAATGAGAGTGGATACTCATTATAATCAGTAACTCTTTTTTCTTCCTTCTTCCGTTTCGAAAAAATCTTTTTCTTTTTTCTGATATCATTGAACAATGATTTTCTGACAATCAGTTCTGCCTGTAGCACCTGTAATTTACATATAAAACTCCCTAAACTTTGTCTTTCATTGCTATGTAATAAATATACAATGTGGTATTTAAGAGTAAGGCACCCCTATGTTTTGGCCAGCTAAATAAATACAGATTCGTAGTTTTGCGCGGTCACAGGTTGACGGTTCACATTTTTTAAGACACTTAACGAAAATTTAAATTTTAAACGCGGCCTACTGCGAATCCGCAAACAGCGCCAATTTTCGATATTGGAAAAAGTTTTTTGAAAAAATTGTTCCCGATATTATACTAACTCAAAATACCAGTCTCATTTTTAGATTTTTCAAGATGCTCCACATCCTGTTTTAGATGCGCAAAAAATAATTTTTAGTAAAGATTCTGGAGCTGGTCGGAGCGTCATTGTTTGCGGTATCAATATTCCGCGTTAATTTTTCCAACCCCATTCTTCTGGTAATATTTATTTTCCGAACCATGTTTGAACTTGTAAATATACTCTTTTGAAGTGTTCAAAAGCGGCATCTGCAGTAGGTGGTGGCAGTTTAACGCAGGTATTTTTGGCAGTTGCTTTCAAAAAAGAGTTATATCTCAATGCATTAAGATCTTTTATTTTTTGGGGGCATTATATAAAGCAAGACTGCATGTAACACCAGTTTTAAAAATTTAATCGATGTCTTTGCATTCATTTTTAAAAACTGTCGCAGCATTATGCAAGTCCGTTCGTTTTACGAAATTTTTTGCAAACATGTTTTTGCCACGTTGAAAAAAAGCTAACGTCGTGTCACATCCAGTGAATGCATGTAAGAACAGAATATGCTGTTTACACTTTGGTAATATTTTTTCTAAACTCTTAGAAGAGTACGCTCTTTGCAGTATTTTGCCTTTGGATGGTTTTAGAAAATAAATTTCTCGGTCGGGTGGTGAGAGCGTAGTCAATAAAACTAAAATATCTACGTCCTCGGACACTACAGCAATATTTTCAGATTGCAGATTAACAGCAGTTTCAATTATTAGTCTGTCGGCATCAGTTTCTGCTTGGCAAGAAAATATTTTATTTTCTGTGAGTGTTTCTCGTAGCATATCTATAATTTTTGGCATTCGATAAAAAATTTTCCTGCGCTATTTTTAGTGGCATGGTATTATCAAATATTATGTCATTATATGCGTTTTTTTTACAGCGACGCGTTCGTTCCATTGATTTGGTGCAGCTCTTCTTGTAACCATCAAACACGACATAAGTGTTGTTTCCATAATTGTTATGTAGATATCTGACATAATGTTGACAAATTGTACCGAAATTTTCATCTAATTGCCACTTGCAACGATGTAATAACAGTGTTGGTATTCCTCTAGTGACTTTTATAATATCTCTTAGCTTAATTCAGAGCTACATCCAATTTTGTCTCAAATGAGGCAATCATTATTTATATTATCACTATTGGATGGTTCACCCATTTTGATACGAGGCTGTAACAACAAATATTTCTAATATCAATAACTAACCTTTATATCACAATTAATTTAAATTTCAGATGTAAGGATTGGAAATTTCTTTTTTTTAAACAAAAATGTGAAAAAATCGGAATTTTCACTATTTTTCCGATTAATTAAATGATTATTTCTGCATAAATAAAATACATAAAAATAAATCAACTGTTTGTGTAAGCACTATCTTATAGGAAATTTCATGCAGATTCCAAATATATATTAAATTTTACCATTACATTCTAACTTTTAAGATCGATCGATTATAAAATATACTATTGAATATTCACAGTTGTTTTCAAAACCATGTAATATAAATAATAAACAAATACTTACTATTTATGCCACTATTTTCAAAGTTTGTAAAACTCAGTAATTAACTTTTATCACACTCACTGTACAATAATATATTTATTTTTTACTTATTTTTTTTTTTTTTTTTCGGAGCAAACAACAACTACGTATCAAGCCTAGCAAGTTGCCACGTGTACTATTCTGTTAGGGCCCGGGTTAACAGCACCCAACAGCTGCTGTTGCCCCCTCTATTCCCATCCCCACCCTTCATCGTTATACCTGCTGTCCCTTGAGACCCAAGATGAAGTTTGTAATAGTTCTTCTTTTTAAAATCTAATTTTACACTAATATAACTTAAGGAAAACTCCAAAAAATTAATAATTATTTATAATAATTATTAAAAAATTAAGATCGCACAAAATATTTTTTTAACATTTTTTTATATGCTATTAAAAACACATTGCCAAAGTTTATAAAAAGATTTATTGACTAGCACTGGATTCCGAGGTATAAACCTTATTGCGCTCCACTACATAGCCTTTTCCTGTTTCTTGTTTATCATATAAGACAGTTAGGTTATAAATTATTATACGGCGCAAAACGTGTCCCATCTGTGTTACAGATTCAAAAAAATCTATTACCTCTTACGTAATAATTTAGGTCATGTTCCAATCGGGTGTTTTTAGTCAACCCATCATGACTAATATGTTTTATAATGTTCGTACTTCTGTACGATTTGTCCTGTCTGTAATAATGGAAAGCTCTTCAACAAAACCATAACAGTGTCTCTTTTTTTAAAGAAACTTCCACAGATTGCTGCTGTACTATTATTTACAAGTGTTCTGGATTCCTGCTGCTTCGGTTGTTGTGTCGCCAATCATCCTGTTGGCTTCTTCATCATAATTGAAAAATGCTTGTCTGGAATGCATTTTTCTTAAAACAGTCAATTCAATTGACTGTTTTAAGAGCAATTCAGAAGATTTGTAAATAGAATTACAAACGCAAAATGGGGTTTTTAGAATTTTCTGACAATGTATGGTACACATATGTATGTACCATCCGAGATGAAAGGGTTAAGGAATATTTTTCGGAAAATGCTTACGCGCACCAAGAAACGCAATTTGTCGCTGCTACTATCGTAGAGTTTAACAATTGAAATAAACTGAACATTAGTTATCGTACACTTTAACGAGGACACTAAGTGTTAAATAATTGTTTGCTCGCTTCCTGTTTTGTCCTTAATAATAGCAATGTAACTACTCGCAAGAAAACCTTGAGTCGCTGTTATGAAAAAGTCTCCTATATAGAGCAATATTCAGATAAATATAACAATGGATTGCCAACCATATTTAATATTCAATATTTACTCATTTAACCTAAGAAAGTTTGAATCTACCAAGCAAACACCATGGACACAAGGTGGTAATGACGGTCAAATCTTAAAGAATATTTCAGAAGTTTATATAGACAATTTCACTAATTCCGAGAACTGAACTTACTTTGTATAAATTAGAGACTTAATTCCAAAATTAAAATAGTATGCGATAACTTCTAAAGATGTTGAGCCAAGTTTTCCTATTTTTAAACATATGTTTGCATAATACGACACATTTTTTTTTGGATATTTTGGAAAACATTTTGTTTATAATTGTTTTTATAACTGCAAAGAATAGTTTGTAAACTTGTATGTTGTGCGAGTTGCTATCATCCGAATGTATCAATAGTATTGTTGAATTATTAATTGCATTATTCTTTTTTTTAATCGGAAATAATATTTTTTGTATTTTTGTTTTGTAAGATTTTTATGTTTTGCAAGTATCAATGTGTGCATCAATGAATAAAAAACTTTTATTTCGAATGTTTGTATTTAAATGCGCATATGTTGGATTGTTTGGCTCGCATATTCCGCAATTCTTATTTTAATTTCTGCCTCCTCCTCCTTTTGCTATATTGCCAATTGGGTGTAACAAGGGTAAATTTATTTAATATGGTACACACACAAAAACACACATACAAGTTTATCTATCTTGACAGACCGGTTTTCACTTCTCGATAACACTGTGCTTGTAAAATAGTTTCTCTATTGTATAGAGAATAGAGACAAATGAGATATATAACTTCTCTTCTCTGCTCTGCTTCTTTAGAAGTAACTTTTGGTTTTTATTACGTCATTGCTTGTTGAAAAATGCTTTCATGACACATGCTGGTTTCAAACATTTGGGGTCCATTAGAGTTATGTTGTTTTTTTAACGAGACATATTTGAGTGACCTGATCGATTCTCCTCCTCGCCAAAATTATTTATTTATTTGCAATCAACAGTTAACCGTACTAAACTATATAACAAAGACAGAATGCATTATATTTGAGAATATGAAACTGATAACAGTAAAGAGTAGATAATAATTTCCCAAACTCACCAATGGCAAATCCTAGACAAAAAGCTACATCGCCGATCGCGTAGACGCTGCCATAGACAGCCGAATGTCGGATGTCAACAAGAAAGCCCAGTTCCGGCATAATCGAACTGTCTACCATTCCTATAGCGAAGCCTAACCCCGCGTTGGGCACGATCAAGTGATTCATGTTGGTCGCCAATGGAATCTGAAATCAATCAAGTATAAAGATTGTGTGTGGTCATAAACTGACCCCTGGATTAACCTCGCTTTGAATAATGGTTGTTCAATAATCGTATCATTCTTGTATTGGATTGAAACCACCTTTAATAGATGTTATACAGTGAAGGGCTAGAATATGGAACAGATTCATTTAAAATTCCGGCATTTTCTTATGATTTTTTTTGCGTTGAAATTGAACTGAGGTGGCTTTTACTTGATGAAAATCCCTTTAACAAAATAAATAAGAACTAAAAGTTCAGATTTTCACGAAATTATATATATTCACAGAACAATTGTTTCCAGAACACCGTGTCTTTATCGAATGTAATATTTACAAACTACCTGTTACTATATATATCGAAAAATGACAATAAAACCATAATTAATGTTGTTGTGAGGATTTAAGTTCAATAAAGAAGAGGTATTTAAATCTAATTGATCGTTAAGCAATATATTTGAATGTCTCATTTTGTTAATCTCCATGGCTTCCAATAAATTTAATTTTCTACTTTTTGTGGCTGTGTATAATATACCAATATTGTCGTCAAAAATGTGTTGTTCTGTGTTTAAGTGTGTAGCATAATTAGAATCTAGACTATTGTTTTTAAAAGTTTTTTTATGTTCGTTAATGCGTTTCTTGAAGAATCTACCTGTTTGTCCAATATAAATTTTAGGACCAGATCCGCATTTCAACCTGTAGTCACCTGATTTTTGAGATTTTGGATATTTCGTTTTATTGCTTTTTAAAAATTTCCTATTGTGTTCTTAGTTCTGAAAGCTATTTTTAAACCACATTTTGACAAATGTTTTGAAACTTTTTCACTGGATTATCCAATGTATGTAATTATTTTAAATTGTTTGTGTTCTGCATTAGGTATCGGATAAATAGAGTTTACTGGTGTCTGGATTTGTTTTTTATTTATAATTTTATCGATAATGGAGGGATTGTAACCGTTGTTTAGTGCAATTTGTTTAATGATATTAAGTTCTTTGTTGTAATTTTATGTTGAGAGTGGCGTATTAAGAAGTCTGTGTATAAAAGAGTGAAGTGTGTGTGCATAAGGGTGATTTGAGCTATTATTATTGACGACTGTGTCCGTGTGTGAAGGTTTATGATAAATGGAAAAATCTAATTTGTTTTGCGTTTTCGTAATAGTTAAGTCCAAAAAATTGATAGAGTTAATGTAATTTAAAAAAGAATTCAATTGTCTGTCCGTTCCAATAAAGCAAGCAAAGACGTCATCCACGTATCTATACCACCATAGAAAAGTTTTACTTAAAAGATGTTCTAGTATGGTATTTTCCAAGTTTTCCATAAAAATCTCGGCTAACAAACGACTAAGTGGGTTTCCCATAATCAAACCTTCCTTAGAGATGCAACTCTGTCCATTAAATTCAAAATAATTTTGTTCTAAAGATACTATTAAGCAATCTAATGAATCTTGTTTAATGGGTTAACCTGTTTCCGAGTGAGGGTTAAATCTGCTAAATCTATCACATCCATAGGTGGAATACTGGGAAATAAGTTTTGTACATCAAAAGACCATTGTGTTGCGTTAGAAGAGATTTTGATGTCTTTAACTTTGTTGATTAATTCAAAAGAGTTTTGTATTGCAAATTTTGGGTACAAATCTGTCTGGAACTTTAAAATATTCACTAATTTTGTTGAGAGTTTAACTGCAGGAGCTGTTACATAAGACACGACTGGTCTAATGGGCATATCTTGTATATTTAATTTTACTAAAGAATATAATTTCGGTGGTTGGGGATTCATAATTGTTAAAAAATACATGTTTTTGTCACTAAATAGTGTGGAGTTAGTAATTACTTCCTTGACTTGTCTTTGATATAGCTCGGTAGGATCGTGTTTGATACATTGGAAAAGTTCTGGTTTAAGAAAATTGTTGGTTTTTGAAATATATTCTGGGAGATCGATAGCTATGACTGTCTTTCCTTTATCTGCACGTGTAAATATTATGTTATTTTCACAAGCTTTGTTTTTGATTGTTTTTACTAGTGACATTTGAGAAATTTCTTTGTTTGTTGTTATCTATTCATTGAGAGTTTATCATTTTCGCTAATTTATGTTTGTTTAAATTAGAATCGTTAATGTCCTTAAATGCTAGTTCACAATCGATCCCTAAACAGTCTAATTCTCTATTAATGTACAAGTGCTGTAAGTTAAAGTTGAAATCATTTTAGAGAAATTCAACTTCATTTTTAGAAAATGTGGTGTCTTTTGATAAAGACACGGTGTTGTCGAAACAATTATCATGTCATAATATATAATTTCGTGAAAATCTGAACTTTTAGTTCTTATTTATTTTGATATACAAAGCCGGTCAAGAAGCAGATGTTGATACAAAGTTCGATTTTTTTAAGGGAATACAATTTTTTTAAATCCATTTCCGATTTCTGTGTAAAATTTCGGGCATAAAACAAATAAATTTAATTTTTAAATGAACAGGTAATTGTTACTAAGTGAAACCCAGAATTTGAAATTTTTATTTTTGTTGAATATGGAGATAAGAAAGAAGTATGTTATTTGTTTAATGCAAAGTACCCAGAAAGACCCATCCACAGCAATTTAAATTTGGAGAAAATTTATAGAATTAGGGCGTCTTTTATTTATATTAGATGTTGAGCATAATCCGCATCGGGCAGTTTGGCAAGTCGCTTGAAATAATTATGGCATTCAACCTTTGCGTGTGTTAAAAGAACAAATGTATCATCTGTACAAGATTACATTACTATACGAGCAGGACGAAAATAATCCTAGACTAAGAGACAACTTAATTCCAGTTACTGTTAACTGATAAGGCACGTTTTGTTTTAATGTTATGGTAAACAGACAGAATAGTAGGTATCGGAGTACAAATAATCCCCAAAAATTAATGTTTAGGCATTGATTTCAGTTGATTTGGATAATAAAATTATTGGACGTTATTTCTTCGATCAATAACACGTCCTTGAAATCCAATACCTTATTTTACATGAATTTGTTCCATATTTCACTGTATATTTTATGTGCTTTTCGTTATACCGGGTGTCAGTGAAATTACTAGCCAATCGATAACTATGTCAAAGCAATGGAATTATTACATTTTGTCAATTTTCTTATTATAAATAAAACAAACTTTATAAATTTCCGTTTTTGTATTCTAAGTGCAAGTGCAAGTAGGAAATGTTCTTTAAATGAGAAGAAACATATTTTAACAAAGAAATATGACCCTCATACTTTTATTCTGTGTTCAATATAGAATAATTATTATAATAAACCGTTTTTATGTATCTTCAATTATTTTTGAGACATTTGCCATTTAAATTTAAAAGCCAAACTAAATTCAAATTTAAATAAAAAAATATGCCTTATTTTACAAGAAAGCATCAAATTGGCGACGGTTCGGTTGGTTGACGAGGGGCTCCTGGATCATCGAGAAGTAATTTGCATGGTTACAGTATTATTTAAAAAAATGAAAGTCATCACGAAACTGACAATATTGAAAACAATTTTATTGTAAGCGATATTTGGGCTTGTGTATTGGGCTTGTGTAGTGGCGGACCAAAGAGACGCAAAATCGGTCGTACTATCGGCATAAGTCAAAATATTTCTAAAAAATGTTGGTATGACAGAAATAGTCTGTATTTATTCTTTTCTCGGACAAATGTTTTTTTACGATTGTGTCAGAGAACTCCACCTGGTGGCATAATAAGCAATCAGACTCGCATCACTCATAGTTCCACCTATGAAAGGCCCTTTTTAACTATTCCAAGTTTATTAAAATCCATTAAGCCATTTTGGAGATATCGACAATTTCTTTGCAAAGATAGAGCAAACCGCATTAAATAAGAAGGTCGGAGATGCAAATTAACAATAACAGTTATTCCTCTTAGTGGTCATTATATATAATATACTCAACTTTTTTCTTATTTCTCCCGGTACATGTGTTTATTTTTTAACAACAATACTACATCTGTTTTTAATAAAAATAACCCGTTTTCTAATTTTGACTTGAATATTATGCTGTGCTCCACTGTTGCCAAAACAAACTAATACCTGTGTCGTTCATCAAACATCTAATATACTATCAAGCGGAAAAATCATGTTTTTTATTGCTAGCGTGGCAGTCTCATTTATTATGATTGGCAGTCAAGTGTCAGACTTTTTAAGATGTCCACAAAGGACGTGACAATCAGATCTGACTGTAGCACCTGTAATATACATATAAAACTCCATAAACATTGTCTTTTATTGCTATGTAATAAATATACAATGTGGTATTTAAGAGTGAGACACCCCTAAGTTTTGGCCAGCTAAATAAATACAAAATAAATATTGGAAAAAGTTTTTTGAAAAAATTGTATATATATATATATATATATATATATATATATATATATATATATATATATATATATATATATATATATATATAACTAACCCGAAATACCAAATTCGCATTTTTAGATTTTTCATTATTTGGAAAATAATAATTTGACATTTGAGAAATTATTAATATCAATCAGATTAAGCTTTCAGTTTATTGCATTGAAGAAGCTGCAAAGTTTAACAGGAGACATCCGCAACGTACTCCCATCACAGATGGAAAATCACCTGTTATAAATGTTCTTTTCAATGAAACTGCCAGTGTTATTAAAATCCATCAGAATAGTCAATCTCGGAGAATTATTCCGCATCTTGATTAAAATATTAGTAAGAATAAAATTAGAAGATGTTTCATTGAAAGAAGTCGATGAGAATAAAAGATAAGATTATTGTTATGGGACCCAAGGAAATTTTTTTAATCACAACCATTTTCCGGGTTTGTATCTTCTCAAAATTGTAGAAAACTCGGAAAACTCCGTTCCACTGGATAATAAATTTTAAAGACCAATATACCCAGAAAGTCACTGTCTGCTGTGGGACTTTGGCAGACCAAATAATATATCATTTTTTCTTCAATGAGCTGATACTGAAAATCTTCAGCATATGCATTTCGAACTAGATCTTCTGTGTGCTGGAAACACTTCGAACACTGAGCACGAGCGCGAGCATTGAAGATGCCAAGTGAGATTTTGGCGAAACGTCTGCAGGATTCCAGTCGGATGCAAGATTTGCAGGATTCCAGTCGGAGTTCAACGAGCGAACGGATGATATCCCGGAATATAGTGTCATCACATTTTTCCATCCGTGAATCAATACATGAGAATATATATATATATATATATATATATATATATATATATATATATATATATATATATATATATATATATATATATATATATATATATATATAAATAGTTTGTTTTTTAAATTGTTAAGTTGTTGTTCCGTCTACAATGTCATATCTGTAAGATTTTAACATAGCTTTTTTCTGTTTGTTGTATAAATTATTACAAATCCCATCTGTTACAGATTCAAAAAAATTATTGCTTGTAATGTAATTAGCATTTGTTCTGAACTAAGTGTTACGTAATAATTTAGGTCATGTTCTAATCGCGTGTTCGTACTTTTGTCCGACTTGTAATAATGGAATAATGGAAAGCTGTACAAGAAAAAAATAACGGTGTCTCTTTTTTAAAGAAACTTCCACAGACTGCTACTGTACTACTATTTACAGGTCTTCTGGATTCCCGCTGAGTCGTTTGTTGTGTCGCCAATCATCCTGTTGGCTTCTTGATCTTAATTGCAAAATGCTTGTCTGGAATATATTTTTCTTAAAACAAAAACAAAAGTTGGTATTACTGTTCAAGATGGCTACCGATTTAACAGCTGTCAAATGATTTATTCTGTTTGGTTTAGCAATTCATCATGAATAGGCTCACGCCTGAACAACGCTTGCAAATAGTGCCATTTTATTTCGAACATAATGATTCTGTGCGGAATACGTATCGCGCACTACGTCCATTTTATCGTCGACAAAATCTCCTTCAGAGCAGTTAATTCGATTAACCATGGAACGTTTTCGCACCACGTTTACTCTTATTGATAACTCGCATCCCCAGAGACGCCGTACGGTGCGTACAGAAGAAGCTATTGCTGCTGTAGAGCGTAGCATTGAGGAAGACACGAATGAGTCCATCCGCCATCGAGCACAGGAATTGGATCTGTGTTCATCCATTTTATGGAAGATTTTACGGATGGATATTGGTTTCCGTGCTTACAAAATACAACTCGTGCAAGAATTGAAGCCAAACGATCATCAAATAAGATTCGTCGAATGGGCCCAAAACAAGATTGCCGTTGTTCTCGCGCACTTCTGGTTGAATGGCTACGTCAACAAACAAAACTGCCGCATTTGGAGCGAAGCTAATCCTCCAGTGTATGTCGAAACACCGTTACATCCAGAAAAACTGACTGTTTGGTGCACTTTATGGGCTGGTGGACTCATTGGTCCGTACTTCTTCAAAAACGATGATGGCCAGAACGTTACACTCAATGGTGATCGGTATAGAGCTATGATTACTAACTCTTTCATTAATGAATTGAATAACCATAATGTCCAGGAGATGTGGTTTCAACAAGACGGCGCAACATGTCACACAACTCGTGCCACAATCGATTTATTCAAAGACACGTTTGGTGACCGCCTAATTTCATGTTTTGGACCTGTGAATTGGCCTCCAAGATCTTGTGATTTAACACCGCTAGACTACTTTCTGTGGGGCTATGTAAAGTCATTGGTCTATGCGGATAAGCCACAAACGCTTGACCATTTGGAAGACAACATTCGCCGGGTTATTGCCGGCATACGGCCACAAATGTTGGAAAAAGTCATCGAAAATTGGACGTCCAGATTGGACTACATACGCGGCAGCCGTGTCGGTCATATGCCAGAAATCATATTTAAAATGTAATGCCACAAGATTATCTGTCGGATAAATAAAATTCATGTCAATCGAATAATCCATTGCTGTTTTATTGCAACTTAAAATTTTATGCATCGAAAAAAAAAACACCCTATAGTAATGATGTCTCTGCTGGTGGCATCTGGAGGGCAATATTTATGATATTTCGCTATTTTAGAACGACCCTTTTCAAGACGAGCTTTTTAGCAGATTTCGAAATATAATGTTATTTTAAAATTTCGATACATCTCGCAACACATTTTACGATCAACATACTGCGCGTTAATTAGTCCGTGAAAAATCGTAATCTTAGAACGCGTTCGACAAAAATGCAGCAATTCGAATTTTTGCAATATTTAATATCGCGCTTATTATAAATTTTTCCTGGCCTTTTTAGAAATAAATTCCTATAAAATACCTCTATTATTATTTCGACAGTCGAGGTGAAAGTCATTACATGAGTGTTTGATAAAAAGTCACAGGTTTGAGTATATTTTGATACGAATGCGAATTATGTCATGCATTAAAAGAATAATCACGGCTCTCCACAAACGACGACTGTTTAGCGTTGCGGCAAATTGTCGTGTTGATAGTACCGATTTTTTATGTCATGTTACATTTGAAATGGCGGTGGCGTGTCCAATTGCGAGTCGTGCGTTTCCCCCTTCATATTGTTATGTCACAAACGAAAGCTTCCTTGCTAATTAGACCCGAACCTTTGCATTTTTTTTTTGCTAGGCTAAAGTTTAATGACTGAAGTGACACTTACGCACATAAGGCATATACCGATTATGATTAAACCCAAAAGTGCAGCCAGCCATCGTCCCATCCTGTGGCCCAGCGGTCCGAAGACATTAGTCCCGATCAAATACGAGATACTAGCGGGAAGAAAGGCTACGCCCTGTTGCCACTTGTCTGCGTCCATCGTGTCCATCATCCAGATCGGGAGTGAGGGTTCCAGCATGGCTATGCCCATATTTGCAAATATTATCGCTCCTAGAATAATACATGTTTAAATTACATACATTATATAATCGCACAACAGACACAAATTTTGTACGTGAAATTAATAAGTGCTCGCCATCAATACTATGATTCGGTGAATGAGACGATTATTTCAAGTTACCACGCATTGAAACAATAATCCCTAACATTCAACGATAAACGCAAAACAACAAACCAAAACTGTCCGGTCTTGATGAGCGCTAAAAGTAGGAACAGCAATCTCAGGTTTCAAGGTGTTTATTCGTTTAAGGTACGGTCTGTTCATAGATATAAAAAAGTGACCAATTGCTTTTGAATGGGATAATCCAAGGGTGGTCATTAGCATACAATGCAACAGGATTATTACCTAAAGTTTCGGAATTTAAATTCAGGTCAAATTGTGATCGGTAATAGAAAATAATTTTATACCTACCTGTGTTTAATATTCTTTGGTTTGGTATACTACTTAGTCTAAGTTTATTAGTAATCATTCTTATTTCGTGTGTAGTACAGCGTGTGTTGAATCGTGTGCTGCAAATTATGCAAAATATGTGCGAGTCTAGTGTATCTCAGGAGATGTTTCCGCCCAAATGTAGAAAACACTATTCTGTTGAGACTAAGGAAGTTATAAACAATGTTTATTTGACTCTCATTGAATTTGGTGCCAGCGAGCAAGCATCTTTAGAAGAAACGGAGACATTGACGAAAATTCCAACATTAACTGTGTGGAAAATTGTGAGTAATCCCATTTCAGCGAGGAAAAAAAGGAGCGATGTTGACATTTTCTTGAGTGTAGATGACAGTGATCAGGATATAATACGGCGTAAAATTTACCAGGCTTGAAAAAGATGAAATCGGTGTTAAATGTGGCAGAACTGCCTTATGGAAGTGTATTCAACACATGGGTTTTAGATTTAAAAAAATTAACAAAAGGCAAGTTTTAATGGAATCTTTTAGAATTCGGAAATGGAGACTGGAATATCTAGAAAATATTAAGATTTACAGAGAACAACAAAGGCCAATTATTTACTTGGATGAAACCTGGTTCGACACTTACGATACCCCTGAAAATGGTTGGGTTGAGTCAACTGATAAGTGTAAAGCAAACGCGCCATCAAAAAGAGGTTAAAGAATAACTATTTTGCATGCTGGCTCTAAAGATGGTTGGATTCCAAATGGACTTTCCCTTTCTGCGAAAAATATTAAAGGTTCTTCTGTTAAACATATAGAAAAAGCAGAACAATCCATATTGCAAAATTATAGAACAAATAATAATTAGAACAGGCGATGATAGCGATAGTGATACTGATATATTATGTGAATAATTTTAAGTAATTTTAGTAGGTAATAAAAATAATTTGTAATTTTATTTTAGATTAAATAAATATTGTTTAGTATTTTTCCTAACAAAACCCCATATAATTAAATTCTAAGCAAAGTACGGACCTGTTCGGCCATATTTCATTCTTACAGCTTGTCTGGGTCTTTCCTTAATTCGTATCAGTTAGTCACTTTCTTATATCTATTATATCTATGAACAGACTTTACGTGTTTTGTCTGCCAAGAATTTATGTTTTATGAACCAAAGATTTTTAAAACTGTTTATTATGTACCAATTTTTTGTCTTTTGCGACAATTACAATTACAATGACTTTTAGGGATAGGACCTTCTTAATTGCCCATCCTGTGCAAACGTAAATAGTATATTCCACGTCGAAAATAAGCCATAATTTCTTGTATAAATATATCTCGGAGCAGAAGATGCAAAATTTTAAACAGAATAGGAATTTTTTCATTTAAATTTTTCGTATCACTTTCAGATATTTCTATAAAATAACCCCGCATGAAATACATAGGGGAATAAACTTCACCCATATAGCTATTAGATAATATATAAATGATAATAAATGGATGCGTAGAGCAGGTAATGATTTTCAGCGCAGTTCATCCACTAAGGTGTACTTTGCGCCATTTTCTTTTCAAAGAGCGATTTCCGCAGAAATAATTAAAAAAAATTCACGCTTATTTCATAGGATCCTGTATGTAACTTAATGGATCTTAGTATGTGATAGTACCACTTTTTTTTTAATTATGACATATATCCGGAAACAGGTGTAGTTTCCGAGATATTGGATGTCAAAGTTCAGACAAAAGGGATTTATGAGTAAATCCGAGCTAAAAAAACTAATCGAAATGACTAAAAGCACAGCTGACTTTCTGTGAAAAAATTGATAACCATTATGTTGGCCTTGAGAACTTTTTCCTTTTATACGAGTTATAAAATGTGGTGTTCCATTCAAATTAATCGAGTCTTAGAATAGAATACATGTTTCGCCACCTTGCATGCGATAAAAACGATTTTTCACTATGTTACACTCTGCTGTAAATTTCGCTGAGATGTAGTTGTCAAGTTAAGAAAAGCATAATTTTATAAATTTGTGTTTTTACTTTTCTTTCAATTTTATAACTCCCAAGATCTTACACGAATTTTATCTCTAAAAAATTTTGTTTGCTTATTATAAGAATGAAAAAAAAATTGTTCGGGCGCTACTCTAACTGACAATTGTGACCAATAATTTTACTACGAGATTAGTGTGTCTCTCTATTTCGTTTTATTATTATTTACTTATTTTTTATTTTTCTACCAATGAAGACCATTTATTACTATTATTATTACTACTACTACTACTATTAGAAAAACAATACATTAGAATAATTTTACTACGAGATTAGTGTGTCTCTCTATTTCATTTTGTTATTATTTACTTATTTTTTATTTTTCTACGAATAAAGACCATTTATTACTATTATTATTGCTACTACTATTACTATTAGAAAAACAATACATTAGAGAAATAATTTCTCCAAAACAAATAACTTAATTTTTATTATACTTGACCAATTACAAATTCTATGAAAAGTACCTATTATTAACATAAGTGCTTAATAATTCCTATGTCTGTATTTCAAAGTATGTTAAGAAAACAATAATAATAAATAATATTGATAACTGTCTGTTTTTTTCATATGTTTATAAAAATATTATCGTGAAAACAGTTAAAAAATAAAGTTAGATATCATAGAAAATTATTTGAGCTAATAAAAAGAATAGGTACCTTTGGTAAAATTATATATAAAATTATTTTATTTGTTTGTGAGAAATTGAAAAAAAAAACAAAATATCTTTTTGTCTCATATTTTTTTGAACCAGTGCCGTGGTTAAATTAAAATTATCTGGGAACAACTTTTAATGTTAAGGCGTAACAGTATCTAGATCTTGTTTATTTTCATAAAAAACAAGAAAGTGTCTAGACGATAAACGTGTCAACATCAGGCTGGTTAAAAAAAATCGAAACTTACGAAATTCGCATTTTAAAAAATAAAATCGAAAAACGAACACATTCTACTTAAATCTAGAATAGATGAATATTAATATTTTTTTGGTATGTTTTATTTTCAACGCTCTAATAGTAACTATTAAAAATTCGAAAAAATACTTTTTTGACTTCACTTTATATCGTAAATTGTTTCTTCTCTAACGCCACCCATAAAACGCTTTGTTTCCAAACTTAAACAGCCAAAACAAAAATTAAACATGTTAATATCTTTTGTTGAGCACCAAGGCACATTTGTTTTTATACTAAAAAGTGTTCACTCATGTTCGAAAGGCGTGTATGAAATATTATGGAGATTGAAATAAAAGGTACATCAAACATTTTTTTTCTCCGAATTTTAGCGTCCAGTATTTCGAAATCGAAATACTTTTTGAATATAACTAATAAATTATTTAGAACCCGGACTATGTTGTACGTTAGACACTACATTTTAGCACGCGCGGTATATTGAAAGAACAGTTTAAGGGAAAAAAATGGACGATTAACATAGATTCTTACCTGCCGCGACGATGATGTAAGGATCGCAGATAAGTGCTTTCAAAGATGGTGGATCCGACTCTTGAATGGTTACGGACGGTTGAAGCATGAGTAGTTGTAACACTGCAAAATAACTTAGATTCAAATAATGACAAAATTCCTAAAATATTTCTAGTTTATGAAAAGAACTCGTCGAATTTTAAATAGGTCAGATCATCTGCTGCCAATTAAAGCCCACCGACAACAGAACGCGCTATCTTTAATCCATAAGTTATTAATGTAGTGGCAATGTATAATACTAATCAATCATCATCAAGATCAAATGTATAAATAATGCTTAGTTTTTTAATACTGTCATTTTTACGGTTACCCATAAAACGCCAATATGTAAAGGATTTTAAATATTTGTTTTTAATAAGGAAACTATCTATAGAATTCGAATTTATATAACGAGTGACAGCACTCGTTATATAAATTAGAACTAAAAGTTCAGATTTTCACGAAATTATATACATTCACATAACAATTGTTTTGACAACACCGTGTCTTCGTCAAATGTCACGGTGTTGTCGAAACAATTGTCATGTGAATATATATAATTTCGTGAAAATCCGAACTTTTAGTTCTTATTTATTTTGTTAAATGGATTTTCATCCAACCGCCTCAGTTCACTTGTTATATAGTTAATTTCAGAAAGTCTTCCTTTTGGTGTTGTGTTTGATAAGAAGTTAAAAGTTAATCAGTATTTTTTATTTTAAAAAGATACTGGACAAAACGTGCCACGTAACGAAAGTAGTGACTGCAAAGTAAGGTTTTCATTTGCTACTGTAATTTTGATGTAAATAGTGTTTCGACAGATTACAAGTCTGTCCTTGTATATATAATTTTTTTTATTATTTTATTTTTGATAATTTTCACAGAGAAGAGGAAGCAGGACTGCTGAGGAGACGGAGGCGTGCGCTTGAGGTGAGACCTCAAATTTCTTCAGCGGCCCGTTTGGCTCTTATCTCTAAATTCTTAAAGCCTACAGTCCACTTTAAAGCTCTTCCAGGATCGCCGCCCATCTTTTTTTTCGTAGGGGTGGTAAGCAACCTCTAGTTTTACTCCGCGAAAAAAAATTAGTGATTATATAGGATATTTAAAAACAAATTCGAAAAACCTAAGGGGGTGATTTCTTGTTTAAAATTAAGGGTAGTTGGTTATATTACGGTTGGGTGAAAAGCCAACCATTAGAGAAAAAATAATGTTTTTATTTTTTATCATAAAAGTGAGAATATATAGAACAATGCAATTTTTCAGAAGAATAAAAACGCTTTTTCGAATATATGTTTTTTTAACCAAAAAAATTAATTTAGATAGACGGGAACTTTTTTGTTTCCTGTAATTATTTCATAAAACTTACATGAACAATAAAATAAAATATGAAGCAATTACTTTAGGAAAATAATTTAGCTGGGTGCTGTCAACTAGATATATTTTGTACCATCATTGATTTTAACAATTTAACAATATTTTAAAAATTTCGTTTGCACGTCCGACCATAAAATTCATTCATCTGCCATTTCTGAATTAGTGTAATTCACAACTGGCTTAAAATTATATAACTAGATAATACATTTTTTATTATTTTAGTTGTTTTCTATAGTAAAACTGACTGGGCAATATCAAATAGACACGTATTTTATTGTCGCATTGCTTTCGACTTTATTTTTTATTTGGAAACCAATGATCCAACGTTTATAACAAATATAACAAACCACCCTTTATTTTAAACAAGGAATCATCAGCATTTGTTTACTTATATGTTTATAAACTTCCTTAAATACCGGTAGCAATAAATTGCATGAAAATCAATACAAAATGAAAACCAATCTGCAGTGCTCGATAACGGGCAATATTTAAAAAGTAATGCCAATGATTTTGTACTATACTAGCATCTTTTAATATAACTTAAGTCCATTTTAGAACACTTTTGTAAAATCATTTATTTCCTTTTAAAAATATGATAATAATTATAAATTTATTAGGATTAATAGGTTTCGCAAAACGTGCTTTAAGTACATTAGGTAAAATGGTAAAGTATACTGATTCGTGGTTACATCTCCATACTTTTATTTACAGGGTGACTCGTTTATTGTGGGATAACTTAGACAAAAGTTTTTTGGATTTACTTTAATAACATATTGTTATAGCTACTGCGTGTTTGTATTTTCAACCTCATTTTTCAATTTAATTGAATATATATATATATATATATATATATATATATATATATATATATATATATATATATATATATATATATATATATATATATATATATATATATATATATATATATATATATATATATAGATACATATTCTGACATATTTTGAATTTTATGTCAAAAGTGACGTTTTGCAGGTGTAAATAAAAAAATATCAATAAATATAAAATTTATTTTTGCTACTTAAATTAACCCTTCGCTATATATATCGGGATTCGTTTCCTTATAGGAAAAATAGAGTAAAGTAGATCCATATTATGCAACAAATGCAGCGGAACGAGTGTTTAATAAACGAGTGATTTAAAAAGTTTACCGAACGTATTGCATACTATACTTTTTCTACGACCGTTTGGATACATTTTTGCAAAACAACACGAATACATTCACTGACACGGCCGTCAGAATTGACAAACGTCAAATTGAAGGCGTGGGGAATATCTCCGAAATCATCCGATTGCGCCTAAACCCGTGCGGTAAAATCCCGGAAATGTCCGAAGTGGCTCGGATCCGTGGGAAATAAAACTGACGTGGTAAAGTGACGCTTCCCGCTCGCTATCGATCGGTAGATAATCAGGTATTTTACAGACGGGAGTAGAAAAACATTTCAAAATTATTTAAAATTTCCTGGCACTATTAGCAATATTATAATTGCATTTTTAATATTATCACTGGCTTAAAATACTATTTAAAAGGTTGCTGATCATAATTTTATTTTTGTTTAAAACTCGAATTTAATAAATCATTTTCGCATTACATTTTCCACGTGCAGGTTTATTTTGTTTGCCATCATTTGTGATATTTTCGCACGGTTTGGTTTGAAACTGTTTCGGTATTTTGTTTGTAAAAATGTGTATATGTCAAAAGTAAGAAGGATTAATTAATGGAACCTTAATATGCAGGGTATTCCATTTGTTTTTTTCGCGAAAATTAATATTTTTCATTTTGATGCACGTTTTGAACTAAGTTCATGACAGGTATAGGATAAATGGCTGTACCACTTTATAAAATTGTTGGCATAATAAAATTACAGCTGTCGGAAACGGCGTCAATAATAAAGAGTAGTAAACACAGGGCATTCCTGACGAAAAAGTACGTATAAATCCGAAACCACTCGGTATAGGCCATAACAACTCTACATTGGGTGATAAGTTTGATTTACCACATAGTTATTATATGTATATTTGAAAATAATTTTAAATTATTTCCTTTAGTCTCATCTACAACATTTTTCTCTAAGATAAATAATAAACGATATATATTGGACACCCTGTAAATAAAAGCACAGAGTATAAGAGTTGCTCTTCGTCAGAACTACTCTTTTTTTTCTTAGAATCTAATTAATAAACACTTAAACAAAGTACTGAAACTGTCAACCGGAACGCAATCTACAACTGACAAAGGACGTATAAATTCTCAACAAAGACGTAGTTAATGGTGCAATTTACCCGGCGCACTTAGGGCGCTAATCGTAGTCTAATTTCTACTGGCGAGACGCGTCGAAAACAAATTTTCTATCTGAAAAGTATATTCCGAAGCAATTTCTACTAAAAATCGGCGCGTTTTAACATCTAAAGGGCACCGCGTTATTGTCGCCCAACACGTTCACAAAGTGTCCTATTTTACAGGCGACTTCTTTTTTCATTATCCCCCGGGTTCAATATTTATGCCGTCATCCCGTGAATAGTCGACTTATCTACATGTCTGTCTATCCCTCGGAATCCCTTTTACAACATCCCGAATGCGCTCTGGATGCCGTCTTATTGGAAAATGCACCTTAAATAAAATTCAAAATAGCGTCAGCCTCGCGGTGGTTGCTACTGGATTTATTTTCGGCTTTATATTGAGCAATAAATATGTTGCGTCTTTGGCGTTGCGTGTTAAGGTTAAAATCATACATGCCTAGCAGATCGGTTTCTTTTAAAGTCTATTTCAGAGGACGTAAAACCTCATTAGCTCTGCAAACGGACAACAGTGTAACCATCGAATACTTAAGCCATTAAATTAGGCATATAATACTGAATGACTAAATTAAAAGTTATTTCATTTTCTTTTATTGTAATAATAATAATAATAGTCAATGTAGGAAACCAAATATCATCTTCATCTTACCGAACTAAAACCTAGTTTATGTAGACAGCGCCTAGACTAATAAATACACCAATTAAGATAAATTACGTTCCAAAAAAATGTAAACATATCATCGCCTACTGTTTGTAATACAATGAAAATAACTTCAACTGAGGTGGCTTTTACTTGATGAAAATCCATTTAACAAAATAAATAAGAACTGAAGGTTCACACCGTGTCTTTATCAGATGTAATGCTGCTATATATACCGAAAAATGACAATAAAACCTAATTAATGTTGTTGTGAGAATTTAAGTTTAATAATGAAGAGGTTTATAAATCTAATTGATCGTTAAGCAATACATTTGAATGTCTCACTTTGTTAATCCCCATGGCTTCCAATAAATTGATTTTTGTGGCTGTATGTAAAATATCAAAATTGTCGTCAAAAATGTGTTCCTGTGTTTAAGTGTGTAGCATAATTAGAATCTATACTATTGTTTTTAAAAGCTCTTTTACGATCGTTAATGCGTTTCTTGGAGGATCTATCTGTCCAATATAAATTGTAGGACAAGATCCGCATTTCAATCTGTAGACACCTGATTTTTGAGATTTTGGACATTTCGTTTTATTGTCTTTTAAAACTTGTTCTATTGTGTTGTTAGTTCTGAAAGCTATTTTTAAACCACATTTTGCAAATGTTTTGAAACTTTTTCACTGGGTTCTCCTATGTAATGTAATTGCTTTAAATTGTTTGTGTTCTGTATTAGGTTTCGGATAAATAGAGTTTACAGTTGTCTGGATTTATTTTTTTAAATAAATAATTTTTCATTTTTATAATTTTATAGATAATAACGGATTGTAGCCGTTGTTCAGTTCAATTTGTTTAATGTTGTAATTTTCTGTTGAGAGTGGCGTATTAAGAAATCTGTGTATAAAAGAGTGAAATGCAGCCATTTTGTGTGTATAAGGGTGGTTTGGGCTGTTATGTATGACCGTGTGTGAAGGTTTATGGTAAATGGAAAAATCTAATTGGTTTTGCGTTTTCGTAATAGTTAATCCTAAAAAATTAATAGAGTTATACTGTTTAATCTCGATAGTGAATTTTATACGATTATGTAACGAATTAATGTAATTTAAAATAGAATTCAATTTTCTGTCCGTTCCAACAAAGCAAGCAAAGACATCATCCAAGTATCTATACCACCATAGATGACTTGTACTTAAAGTATGTTCTGTTTTCCAAATTATCCATAAAAATCTCTGTTAACAAAGGACTAAGTGAGTTTCTCATAATCAAACCTTCCTTAGAGATGAAAATCTGTCCATTAAATTGAAAATAATTTTGGTTTAAAGATACTATTAAGCAATAAATGGGTTAACCTGTTTCCGAGTGAGGGTTAAATCTACTAAATCTATCACATCCATAGGTGGAATACTGGGAAATAAGTTTTGTACATCAAAAGACAATAGTGTTGGGATAGAAGGGAATTTGATATCTTTAATTTTGTTGATTAATTCAAAAGAATTTTTTATTGCAAATTTTGGTTTAAAATCTGTGTGGAATTTAAAAATGTTTACTAACTTTGTTGAGAGTTTAACATTTCATTTAAATCGCGTGGCCATATCTTCACTACCAACCGAGATATAGATATAAGTTGCCTTTAATATTTTTTAAGACAAATGCATTGGCGTAAACAAATTCTTTTCTACAGTACTCCGTTTTCTGATAAATGAATACAACTTTCTTATTTTTATATGGCAATTTCAGGAATATAGAGCTGCACCAACCAAACCACCGAATATTCCGGACTCGAAAAAATTATTTAAATCCAAGCTAATTCTCACGGGCAACAGCTGACGCTACAAATGCTGGGAAAACTAAAGTTTTGACTACTTAAAAAAGAAACATAAATTTAAGTCATATCATATCAGAAAAGTCCATCAATCACATGACTGGTATGCCGATAGAGGAATACAATTTTGTAACTGGTTTATCGTAAAATGCAACCAGAACTTTGTTTGGAGTGGTGAAGCGGTAATTTACTGCTCCAGAATATTTAACACATACCACTGGAGCACAAAAAATCCTCATGCTGTGGCGTGCCAAAATCAGCAAGGTCGCTTTGGATGTGCGGGTAGGAATTTTCCGAGGTAGATTTGTGGAACCTTATTGAAAATCTGACTGGGGATGATTATATAAATATTTTGCGAAGATATGTTGTTCCATTTTTGGAAGACTTGCCTTGCCATTAGTTCTCGCAACGCACGGATTGTAAGTGAACTTTTTAATCAAGGGTTTAGACCATGTTGGATTGGAACTAGTGGCCCCATTCTGTGAGGTCGTGTGATTAAAAGTTCTTATAATTAAAGACAGAATTTTCAAACCAAAGCAGAGTTAGAGGAAGTCACTCGAGAAGGGTTTGCTTCCATCCATCCTAGAGAGTTAGTGAATAGTCATTGAGTATGAAAAAGGTGCGTCCGGTGTATTGAAGACGGGGAGCCTAATTTGAACAGTTACGTTAAAATATTGATGTTCATTTTGTTTTGTTTATTAGGTTAAAATAATTATAAATTTGTTTTCTAAAATTATTTGTTTGTTCTCGTATTGTTAACTAATTTTTAATTTAACAAATGAAAATTGAACTGAATTCTTGGTAAAATAGAATCATGTTTTTTTATCGGTCACATGCTTTACACATTTAAGTTTAAGATTTCGGAAGAAAATTTCAGTGCTCGTCACTAGTTTAAACAAAATGAATTTATTTATGACAGCGCGCCGGGCGCCGAGCGCTGTGGAAGCGCCGCGCTGCCGAGCGTCTCGAATTCAATGCAGAATGTTTTATCAGTGATAATTTAAAATGATAATACAAAATATTATTATAAAACAAATTTTATTATTATTTATGTTATTTTATTATAATTATTATTAATACCATTTTATTTTTTAATAATATTAACAATCATAACATACTGAATAGAACAAACAAGCTTAAATAATTAAATTGTAAATTTGTCGTCAATTATTTATTTATTTATTTTTTCACTTTTTTTTAGATAAATACTTTTTCATCCTCTGAAACGAGCCTGCATTCTAGTGAAAATTTTTCCAATGGTTTGTTATAATGAAATTGGCGAGTATTTTTTATTGTAGTTAAGCGTTCGAATCGTGGTTGGTATTTTTTTTTAAAGAACTTTGGGCCCACTGAAAAAAGGAAAGTGGAGTTTTTGTGTGGTTGTTTTTATCACGTTGGTGACTAGCACGATAAGCTTGTCTTTTTACACTCCCTGCTAAGGCATCACACGCTCCTTTGCCATGAGATGCAGCGAAAAAAGTCCAATCAGCGTCAACACCAAAATCATTTTTATGATTAACTAAATTGCAAAATTATATTTAAATAATAATTGGAACTAATTTTTTAATCACATAATTTTATAATTCACTCGGCCCATTTTAAATTACAGAAAATATTATTATTACAATTAAAAATTATAATAATAAAATATTAACTAAAAAAACACAACCCAACAATACTTCAGCTTATAATTTAAATAATTATTTCATGCTTTGAGTATAAACTTATGTCGCGAATAGACAGGAATGATTTCTAAAATGATTTTGTTATTTACTAGGAAAATCGTAACGGATCGGGTTTTCTTTCGTTAACAGACGTAGTGTTGACTAGTAAATATAAAAATAATAATTTAGTAAATTGCTTAGAAAAAATAAACATAACAGTTTTAAAAATTTAAAGTTGATTATTTTTTCAAAATTTACGCTGTTTGGTAAAAGTAATTAAAAAAAATTGATAGTATTCTTTAAAACATTGTTTAAAAAATAAAAATGTATTAATAATAATAATAATTAAATAACATGAATAATAATAAAATTTCTTTTATAATAACATTTTTTATTATTATTTTAAATTATCACTGGATAAAACCTTCAACGCAGTTCGAGACGCTCGGCAGCGCGGCGGTTCCACAGCGCTCGGCGCCCGGCACGCTGTCATGAATAAATTCATTCATTTCACTAATGGCGACCAGTGAAATTTTCTTCCGGAATCTTAAACTTATATGTGTAAAGCATGTGACCGATAAAAAACATGATTTTTTTTACCAAGGAATCAGTTAAATTCTCATTTGTTAACTTAAAAGTTAGTTAAAAATACAAAAATAAGCAAATAATTTTCAGTCGTTAATAGTAAAATGGGGAAGGCAGAGAAGAAGGCAATGGTATAACCACGTCAAGACGATGGGCGAAGATAGATTACCCCGCATAGCTTTCGAGGGAATACCAGTAGGAAGTCGTCCGCCGGGTAGACCGCCGAAGAGGTGGAGAGACAGCTGGCAGTCCACATCTCAAGAATTAATACGACAAGCCGGGAATTGACAGTTCGTTTGATCTCAACCAAGTAGAAGAAGAAGAAGAATGTATTCATAATGTATAGATATTTGACCATGGATGCGGAAAATTTCATAAATTTATCTGTAACGGTTGATTTTTATTCCATTTTTTAATTAAATTAAATAAGAAAAAAAGTTGTTAAAATCAACATTTTAAAAAATCGTTTGGGGGATGAATTTTCCGTCATAAGTACTTATAAAAAATATATATAGATTAAATTTTTATGATCAAGTGTAAGAACGCAAAATCAGTCTCTGAAATCCCAATATAATTTTCAACGCCGAGCTAGGAATGGCCATTACCAGAGAATACAGAGTCTGAGCCATTGTTGTTTACATTTTTGGTGGTTAGGATTCTCTCCGTACCTTTTTCGTGTTTTTGTGAAAAACCTGTTGTGTTTGTGGTCAAAACTGCAAAGAAAAGAATGTGCCTGTATACGGGTAAGTATTGCCTTATATACAAGTTAATTTAAAATATTCAAAAGTGGTTTCTATAGGGCTCCCACTCACACTCACCTGTATAATTTGTGCTTTCAATACTTGCTCCTTCACGAAATTACAACAAGTGTGGCAAGTATGAGGACCTAATAGCATCTTAGACAAACACCAATGATTTAACTGCAAGGTACCCTTAAATAGCTACATAGGAAAGATGTTTGAGTAATATGTTTTAGTGCACAAGAATTATAGCATATATAAGTAAACAATTAAGCTGCAAGTTTTACTAGAACAATCACAAGAAATACCCCTTGATAATTACAAATCCTTGTAAACCTCATTCTGGGAAAGTTTTCATTTGTCATCACGCTTAGTAAAAATAAACTGCTTTTCGGTTGGTCAAAAATTACAGAAATGATTACCACAGAAAGTGGGGAATTCCCAGAATCAATTAAGCTGCAACTGCAACAGGAAGAATTTAAATGATAAATCTGCAGGATATTTTTGGTGAAGGCATTACTGGAAATTTTTGAGAATTACCAGGAATTCTAGAGAACTATTCAAAATTTTGGAGTACTTTATTTGTAGGTCACCTACCTCCTTAGAGAGGTAAGTTAATACTGCAGTCTATACACACACAATTTGACACTGATTTTGTAAACCTACTTGTTGGATTCAGGAGTAGGCAAAATATTGTATGCACAACTTGGGAAGAAGAGATCTTGATTAGTCTCCGACTATTTTCCCAACCCTTGCTTGGCTTGAGAGAAAGCTATGTCCTTGACTCGTATCACGTACCTCCCTTGTGTAAATAACTATTTAGTACAAGTCTTTAGACAAGTTATGAGACTGATCCATGTTCTTGGTCCAATTTTTTGTGTGGACTTGCATATATGTCTGTTTCTTAGTTTTGATATATTAATCATATATCCATGTAGCGTCATTCAATTTACATTTTATTTTTTAGTTTACCAAAAGATGAAATTGTAAGGAAAGAATGCATAACATTCCTTGTCAAAAATGGAGCTGCCAGGGAGGCTGATAGCTTTAGAAGAGCATCCATATCACTCCTTTAAGCTATAGGAGAGGCGGTAAACACTTGATAAAGTAGGCAGTGCAGTGTCTTTTAGGTAAATATTGTGATCAGTGTTAAATCAGGCTACTTGTTTTTGTGGTCATTCTGTTTGCCGATGGTACTTAAGAGTCAGCCCATATTTAGAGTGCCAAATGGTCAATTTTCAATAAAATTTCTCAAACGGTCTAAAATATTTATATTTTTCCTGCATAATTTGTGACTGAAAATTTTCCATCTTGTACATATGAGAAATTTTTGTTGATAGGGGGACGTTTTTGGCCTTTATTTCCAACAAGTCAAAATAATAATTTCTTTTTTAGAGCAGATCTTGGGTCTTCAGTGGTAGTGAAAACAACATTACAAATTATAGAGAACCCTGGCACAGAATAACCAGCTGTCATTAGTTTTTAAAAAGAACAGACACAGTGACATATTGTCAACAAGTAAAGTGCTTCTGATTTAAATTTTGTTTTTAATTTACAGATAATGAAATTTTTGCTTTGGTTATTCTACTAATAATTAACAATAGTTTAATGTATTATAAATGAAATTTATTTTTATTGCTTAGATCTTCTTTTTTGTAATTTTTAAATCAAATCAAATAATATAAAAGTTCCTTGAAAAGAGTAACACTGAAGCATCTTATGTCGGACGCCATTGTGCAAATAAAAAATAAATTTTATTATGCTATTAAAAAATGCAGCATACATTTTTATTTAATTTCTTATTGTGTTCATAAGCAACAATGTACTTTATTCTTTTCAATAAAGGCCTTATTAAGTAATTCATGTATTTATTCATTTATATTTTTTACATTGTGTTCATTCTCCAACTATATCTTCTGTGAACTTCAAAACAAGTTAATAAAACACTATATAAAGTGCTATTATAATTAAAGGTAAGTCATAGTTGTGGCATAAACCACAATCTTGTCTACAAAACAGGACTGGCGCGTGCAGCTGGAAAAAAATATTTCTTAATAAGACAGTTTTTCTTTTAGAATGTTTCATATAAGCTTACACTTTTAAAAAATTCAGAGTATTTCTGGAATAGTAATTTTTTGTTAGTTACATTTGAATCCAGATGCCAATAAAACATAGGTAAATTATTGGGTTAATTGATACTAGTGTCTAAAGCCCGGTAGACATATTGCAATTTATACATGTACTTTTAGAATTTAACAATTGCTGTTAAATATTTTTGACGGGGAATTTTTTGCAGTAGCAAATTTTTGCTAGCAAAATGTTTTATAAATTTTGAGACAATAAACGACCCACTTTAGCGTTTGGTAATGTTAATTCTGTTGTTTATTGACTTGTTTTATACTAGTTTTTAAATTTCTTGGTTACATTTTCCAATAGTTTGCGATGAAAGAATGAGCGCTCTGTCTATACGAGGTGCTTGTTGAACACTTGTTCCACTTAGATTTTTCCAGGGCGATATCTAATACCTCAAAGTTATATTTACACTTTTAGAGTCACATTTCGCGAATGCGACTTTATTTAAATGTTTAATAAAGGTTAAACGAATAAGTTTAATAAAACAAATTGTGCAAAGTGCTTAAAGAACCTAAACGCTAAAACACTTACAGAATTATACTAAGGACGCGGATCCGTCGCTAATTTTTTTAACAACACTTTCTACACGTTAATTCCTTTTTTGCCTGAAAATTTAATGGAATTTCGGCATATTTTGAGAAAATATTGTCGTAAAAATGCAGCATCCAAACACTGACGACCTGGCAGCGGCCACGTTGGTTGTTGGTATCCGCAAGGCCTTATGGGTCGAACGTCAGAATTTGCAATTAGAGCTGCCATTGGTTAAAAACGAAATTTCAAATGTCGCGCGTGCGCATATTCAACAGACCTTCTCAAAATGTTGTTACATAGTTGCTTCATGAGTTCCTATACGTCTGATAGCTATATGGTTGTAACATTACAACAAAGCCTGTTTATTAGTGTCGGAGTTACAACAGGGATTAGAAGTAATGTTATTGTACAAATTTTACCGACGCCCATGGCCGACACCGAAATTTCAGCGGAACTGGACGGAATTTTCCACGTGATTACTCTACACTTTTCTGAAATAGCTCTTAACGGTATTGTTCATTTCGCATTAGCACTTACGTCCATCTCCGAGAGCGAGTGCCGCCAACACGAGGAACGGAGCAGATTTTCCGACAAATTCGTACATGAATCCGCCGAATGGAGGTCCGATTAGTACCCCGAGCGCCAGTCCGCCCAGTGCTATCCCCATGGCGTTACCTCGCTCTTTGTCTTCCGGATAGCGTTCTGCCAGCATACCCATCCCTAAGGGTGATCGTAGACATTCAAGGTCATTCATATAAACATACAGAGTTTTTTTACAGAAACTTCCACACTAATTACAAATCTTTTTAATGAATCCAACTAGCTGACGTTTCGCCAATTATCCTGTTGGCTTCTTTAGAACTTAACCCGAAAACAGTTTCGGTTAAGCTCTGAGAAAGCCGAGGCGAAACAGCAGCAAATTCAATACATCAGGAATCCAGAAGATTTTTAAATAGTATAACATACAGAGTGTCTCGCAATGGAGCGGATGGAATATTGGACGTAGCAACTTGCTAAAAATTTAATCGAATATATTTTCCACTGTCGGCTATCGACGTAAATCGTTTTCAGTACCGCTGAAATCATAAACTTTGATTCTTCATTTGTTAATTTTTTCTCTGTGGTGTATTACCGTTCTGGAATGGCGTCACGCTGGTTTCAAATAACGTATTTCTTACAATACTTAGATTCTAGCAATGATCCCTAACCTAAACGTATACTGTGATGTAGATACGTGGGTTGCGTTCAGCAATAGTGAAAGCTAATCTACAATGTACAGATAGCGTTGTAACTTTGCGAAAATTGCTGGAAAATTCCGTTAACAAAATTTCAACTCTTCAGTTTTGGAGGTGCTCAAATGCACTACGAGAGTTGGTTCAAAAAGTATCTTAGAACTTCAAAAACTATTTTTATGTTATGTTAATTATGTTATATTAATGGTTAAGATAAATTCTTTCATTTTTGTTTTTTTCCTTGTTACTTTCGAAAATCGATGAAATCGAATTTTTTTAAGGTATCTGGGCTCGTATAAAAATTATATATCTCAGTAGCGGTAGGTCCTATGGGATCGCCGTTGGTACAGAAATGATCACCGTCGAAAAAAATTTTTTTTTAGTCTGTCCGTTCTCCATTCTCCGTTCTCCGTTCTTTTGGTTTTTGCTGAATAACTTTCGAACCATTTGAGTTACATAATTGAAATTTGCCTCCTTTTTAACGAAGCACATAAGCTTATAAGAAATGGCCCTGATCCGACGCCATCTTTTTTTCGCGATTTTCGACTGTTTTTTGGACTTTGCTATGAAACACGATAAGTGTCCGAAATTTGAAGCAATCGACTTCATATTTGGCACATGTATGCAGCTTTGCCCCTGACGGAACCTATTGAAAATGGGGGGGCTGGGGGATCGGGAAGTATTAAAAAAAAAAAAATCGCGTATGCAAGGGTCTACAAAAAAGACCATTTTTCAAAAACAGTTTACAAAACCGAAAAAATTTTTGAACCAGAGGACGCAGAGGAAACGACTCCATAAACTTTTATTCTTGACAATTTTTCAAAAACATACAGGGTGCCCCGCAAATTCAAAAAAAAAAAATGAAAAATGGTTCCCCTATTATTGAAAATCGGTAATAATTTCAAATTTGTTATAGATGTCAGTTTCTTTTACATAACGATATAGCCCATATAGACAGCCTAAACTTTTGTATTTACGGTATTGTTCAGGGTGTTCGCGATATTCCGTGCAATATTAAAAAATATAATGAGTATTCCAAATTTGCAGCTACCGACTTCAGACTTGGGAGAGAAGTAGAAGTCTGGGCCCGCATTTAGACTCTTTAAATTGGTAGCAATAACATAACGTAAAGTATTTTTTTTTTAATTTTTGATTCTTCTTTTGTGGTTATTTTGGCATCCAGAATCTTTTCTCCAAAACCATTCATCCGATCGGAAAAATTTTACATCCGTAGTACGTGGGAGACCCGACGCTATAACTTTTGTTTTACGCATTTTTTCGATTATATACAAGGTGTTTTAGTTATGGACAAAAATCTAAAAGACTCTGAAAATTGTTCTTTTGGAGAGTAAATTATTAACCCTAAATCAAAATTCGTACAAACAATAGCTAATCGTTTTCGTTTATCACATACGCTGTTCGAGATATTTGAAAAACTCCAAATCAAAATCACCATTTCTCGCCCTAAATATAAACGCGATGACGTCATTTACTATTATCACGTACTGTATGGTTTTAGAAAACAAATAATTTCTTGAAAAGTATTTACTCCATTTTAAATATTGGTATACCAGGAAACTAATAAGATCCAGGGCTATAGCCTCTATTTCGAACATTGTTGGGATTATTTACAGGGTACGTCGGTTGTGGGCAAAAAATTCTAATAGATCCTAGAAATTTCCGCTTTTGTGGGTAAATTATTGGCGATAAATGAAATACTTTTAAAGATGTGATAATTTGCATGAACAGTATGGTAAACTGTGTCAAGAGAGAGTTTAATATTTCGTGTATAATACAGGGGCGCAAAATTTTTGAAAAAATATAATTTTAAATTGCAATTACCAGCACAAATTTTAATATTCACCGAAGTTTGCCGTAACTTTGAAGTTTGACGAGGAAGGACGCTGTATACATGGTGTATTCACAATAAAATTACATCGATTTTGCGGAAGTTCCATAGTGGTCCGCAGGAGCACGATAGAAAAACAATACACTAGGACAAGAATTCGTGAGGCGCCTTCTTTTTAAAATAAAAAGCTGACTTGTCCCGCGCAGCAACGATTTTTCGAAAGCGATCCTGTTTGTTATGTAATAAAAACTAATCTTGTCTTGATAACCTCCGCTTTTTAATCCGCTGTTAAATATAAAATTGGATCCCTTAATAAATCTTTCCGTTGATCCAGAGTGAACCGCAATAAATCGATGACCTTCACTAGATTTTTTGAGACTGGTAGACATAGTGTTATCGTGCCAGCTATTTCTAAACGAACCTTGATTAAAAGCCCAAGTCACGTCAATAAATACGGTGGTATAAGCTAGTTTTTGATATATTTCCTGAAGAAATTGATTCTCTTGTAGATTTGATTTCTTCCACTTAGAACGGATACTTTTTACGTATTTTCCTAGCGAGCTGATGCAACAATTAAAGTATTCATTTGTCTCTTTTAGTTTTTTTAAGCAAAATCTGCGTTGTAGCATATTAGTTTTTCGCCTACATGCAATAGATCATAACTATTATATTGTTCTTTAAGTAATTTGCAATTGTTATTTTTATCTTTTTTTGTTTTTGGAATTCTGGAAGTGAAGGATTCATCGCTCGTTATTGGTCTTTTCTTAATATTTATGATTGTTGTATGGTCGTTCAATAGCATCCTCAATTTGTGGAAGGATTCCATTTTATTGATTTTTAGGATTAAAAAAAAAGTAAGAAATTCCAAATTATTAGCTGTAACAGTTGACAACAAATCAATGTTAATTTTGATGAAAATATTCCGAAAAACACTTAACTAAAACCGGCATTGCGTGTTATAGAGAAACGACAATTTTTTTTTCATTTGTTTGTCTCTGTCACTTGACATAGATTAAACAATAAACACAAAAAATTACGTCATTCCCGAAAGGTAATGTGACAACTATGCCACTTACTGTACCTTTCTCCGTATACTGCTAAAAATGTCATTCGCGGAACACGTGTCAAATCAGCAAGTTTTGTGACAGACGGCTTTTACAATATATACTCTTCAAGAGGGTCTAGAAGGAAACGGCATTTATGGCTTCAGAAACTGGTGCAATATACAAGATGTGGGTCCTACATTTCGTCAGGTAGCACACCCTCATATTCAATGAACAGATAATCTCTAACGTGTGAGACGTGTATGTCACAAGAAGAAGTAAAAATAAAAAATAAATATTTCTTTGAAAGATCCTTTCGCACGCGGTAGAATTTGGAGAAACACGTCTTCTATAGTTCTCCTGCGTCGGATGTTGACTCTGTCTTGCTGCTGCTGTCCTCTTCAAAGCGCTATCTGAAACTGATTTCATGATTGTTCCGCACGCAACTTAAATATCTGCGGGGACCGACTCCCAAATGGAAGATAGGCAAAAACCTGTGTTGAGGTTTATATTATTGGGATATTTGATTATTTCGATGGATAAGGAAATTTTTCTTGGACCTAGAATTTTGATTGCGTCGCATTAAATCGTATAGAATCGTTAGCATTATTCATCATTAGCAAAATGTCTTGCCTCAATTTTAAAACCTTTCGTAGGAAAAGGTTCCAGTTCTGTGATTGATTCATTTCATCTTATTCAAGAACTAAAAATTATTAACTTAGATCTAGACGACATTCTAGTTAGTTTTCGCTTTGAATCTCTCTTTACTAAAGTTCATGTTCCGTAAACATTAAGCATCAGTTCAAATATCTTAAAATGCGAAAATCTCCCTGGTGACCGACAAATATCAGGAACAGCTAGGGGTTCTGTACTTTCTCTTGTCTTCGCTAATAATTTTATAGAAGATATTGGAAAACTGGCCATTGATAAGTTTCATCTAAAACCGAAACTGTTCGTTATGTGATCACACGACCAGGAATCTCTTTAAAAAATCTGAACCATCTAAACGCCATATGCACAAAAATCAATTTGATAATCGAACTGGAAAATAACAACAGTCTTCCCATTTGTAGACACTCTTTATAATCGAAAATCAGACTTAACCTTGGAACCATGTCGTCTATAGAAAACTGACTCATATGGATACATAATCGCATCATAATTCAGCCCAAAAAATTTTGGACATCAATTCCTTACATTTCAGAGCAATACCTCTGTTGCGACCTGAATCTCTTAACCAGGAATTAACACATTTCGAGATATGAGACGGTCCATTAAAACATACATTTCACCAAAACAATAACGATAAGGCTAAAATATCAGTGTCAAACAAGTTTCGCTGCAAAGGCCCCAATTTTATCTCAACATTTTTAGTTTACCTCGTTTTTATGTACATCAGTGAAATTTTTTATTCCTGGTGATCTGAAATGTCAATGTCGCTCTCAGAACTGCGGTCAGAATTTATGCCAATAATAAGTACATCCATATTGTCCTGAATATTATCAGCAGATGAAATTTCCTATTCGTTTTTTTTGTGATATATTGAATATAATTACTCCAATTTTGTTCAATTACATGATGAAATGCTTCATCTATTAGTACATTAGTAGTACTTCTTCAATTTTATATTTGTCATACTCATTTCTGGACAACTTTCATCTCTGTGATTTCAAGTAGGAGTCGTCAAAGAAAATGTTTTTTTCTTGAATTTCGACTTTTTTCCATAAGATCACTGGATACGTAAATTTAGAATAGTATATTATGCAACAAGTGGTAAACGGCATTTGGAACGAACGTAGCACTCTTACTTTTTGGGTACAACACATCAGTACATTCATTGATATGACCGCTAGAATTGACAAATGTCAAAATTCAAGCTGTTGGGTAATATGCCGAAAATGTCCGAAGTGGCTCGGATTCATGCGACCCTGAAGTGACGTGGTAAAATGACACGTAGAAAAAGTAGAGGGAGTTCTTGATAAGCGGGTGACTTAAAAATGTTACCAAATGTGTTGCATACTATACCTTTTCTACGACTGTTAAATCACACACACCCACTTAGCGCGACTTGGGACTATAGCCCTTTTTTCTATCCAACCGAAATAATGAAACACCCCAATAACATGAATCGCTGTTTATACAGTTTATAGGTGTCTTCCATTTGGGCAGAGCAATTATCAAATCACTTTCACGCAGCGTTCTGAAGAAGCCAGCAGCATTTTTGGCTAAACTTCAGCGATTCAGAGTAAAACCCCAAAGCAGAAGAAATCCTGAAGATGTGTACCTATGTTTATATATATATTTTTATAAAGTATAGCCGAGACTCTCTCCAGCCGTTTCTCTAGATTATAATTATTTTTCACATTTTTTGGCTAAAAGAGGCACCAATTTAAATTCTTATTGGGGGGGGGGGGTAATTTAATATTTAGAAAGCTGAAATTTGACCCCGTAAATAACTTCTGCGAGGTACAGGGTATTTACAAAAACATTATTTTACCGTCTCACACCAAATTGGCGAAAAGTCCTGTTTTAAAATATTTTGAATTTTTCCTAGATATACCGTTAAATAAGTTTCCTCCAACTACTTGGAAAATAATGCGTTGAAATTTAGTGCCCCTATTACAAAAAACAAGGCAACTCAGTATTTAAGGTTGGTTAAGTGTTTTTCGGGTGGTGTATCGTTGTGGGTGGTATTCGATTTAAAACTGTTTTGCATGTGGACTCTGCTTGTATTTCTCCGTTTCTATTGAGAAATTCTGGATTTTTTGAATATTTTTCGTAAGGTGAATAAACATATTTCTAATAAAACTCTAATTTTTCAAAGCCACTTTATTAATTATTTATCAATTGAGAATACTGATTATTTTGATATTTACAAAAAGAAGCAGAAGAAGAAACTTAACATCCACAGAGCGATACATTTTCTGAGGTTACAATCACCCTTTTTCTGTTATAAATGAATATTTTTTTCGCATTATGAACGAAATACATCTATATTTATGATTAGCTATGCTAGAAAATTAGGTAGGTTATTTCAAAATTGTTTTCGCAAATCTACCATAAAGTTTTAAAACGCATTTTGTTATTTATTAGTGCGTTAATCGATGTGCCTAATTTAATAATTAACAGCACAATTAACACTTTAAAGAAGAGTCCTAACTATAAACTTTATAGCAAAGACTCCCTCTGAAATTCAGCGAATATTACGAGGTTTCATTTCGGTCAATATTCGTGAATCATTCTGTGTGTAACACTGGATGTTTCAAAATATTATGGCGCTCAGACGCACCTTCATAATTTAAAACTGACCGTTTAGTGGCTTTCCTATATTCATTCATTCATTCTTACCTGAAACTGTGGAACACGAGGATCCTATGCCTTGGAGAGCTCTAGCTATGAAAAGGACACTGTAACTCCGGCCAAAAGCGAAAACTACAAAAAAAAACATGGTGTTAGGCATCGATAGATCAAAGTAATGGTACTTCCTATGAGCACTTAACATTCTAATAGACTACTATCCTAATAGATAAAATTTATTAAAAATATTTTTTAATATTCACATCAAAAGAAGAATCAAGGATCTTTATAAATATCAGTGTTCTTTGTTATAAGTTTTTTTATACTTTATATTTTTTTAGTAACATTGGTGGTCCACGTAAGATAATTATCCAATCTTAGAAATGATAAGATTTACAAAATAATTTTAACACAAAAGAGTCTTGGGTTGACTTAAGAGGTATTTAGTTTATATACAGGGAGTCCCAAAAATTTGAATAAAAACGTAAATCGGTCAAGAGAAAGTTCTGCAAATTGTTTTCGAGTTTCTGAAATCACCACTCCGGGCCTTAATCTGTTATCTTAAATTGTAAAACTCGGTTTTCATAAGAAATATCGCATATTAACAGTAGTGCTGAGACAAATTAAATTTCTTGTCCAAATATTTTCTTAAATGAATATCCATATCTTCAAAAAGGTCACTTTATCAATTATCTTATTTTATAATAAGAAAACAATTTTTTAAGGGCTTCACTTGTAGATGCTTAAGGTAACCATTTCGAATTCATTGGCCATCATTATATGAATAACTTATTTATTTCAAAAATTTATTCTATCAATATAGCAATGTAACATTTTATCCTACTTAAATGTGTCAAATGTTCTTGGTATTGATATTCTTAAAATTTGGTATTTCTTTTATGGCCTTGTGCCATTATAGTCGATTAATGGACTACAAGATATATATGAAGTATCAGTATAATAGCAATTAATTGCCATGAGTTTGCAAACAAACAATATTCCAAATTTACACCCCTAATAAAATTTGCCAACATTTCATAAGTTTACCATGCCACATATTGCAGAAAGTGAGCAGTGATAATAAATATTGACAGAAATTTTAACATAATTTATATAAAATACAAAGTTTAAACTAGATAATACAAAAATTTTAAAATAAAAAGATATTACTTTAAATTTGGTATTAAAAACGAACAAATCTTACATGTAAATCTTGGTTTTTCTAATAATTCGTCTACTTTTTGTTCCTTATTCATTTATTAAGTTGCTTCGACGCTCATAGATAGAATAAATTTGTTGAACACTAATGTATAATAGAGTGTTAACATTTTGTGTTTATTCAAAATGTTTCAAAAATATTTTCATTTGTAAATAAGTCGCCGTAGGTTGTTTACCACTGTTTGTAAATGTTTGTTTCATTTTAATTGTGTATCCATTGTTATTCCCAACTATTTTATCTGTCCACTTTATTTAATAGTTCATTGTTTATTACGGTTTACTAATTTCTGATGTAGTGCTTCCAGGTGATTTTTTAAATTTCGGCCATTCTATAGTCTGTGTAATTTCATTGGGAGGTGTTTTATTCTAATTAGAATTGTTTTGTTGTTTTCATTTTATGAAATGTATATATGTTATAGACCCAAAAATGTCCGCCACTGTAATTGATGTAATGAGAAATCAGTGATAATTAATACAAAATAAATAAGAACTAAAAGTTCAGATTTTCAGGAAATTATATATTTTTACATGACAATTGTTTCGACAACACCGTGTCTTTATCAAATGTGAAATATGAAACGTTTCTGCAATTTGAACATCATTTTCAGTTGTTGAATGGTGTGCAGTTTTTATTTGTATTATTCTGTTTGTTTTATTTTTCTCATTTATAGATTTAGTGTATCGCAGAGTGCTCTAAAGTTTGTCAGATTTTATGTTATTATTATATGGAAGTCCAGTACATGCTGATTTCAAAAATTTCAATGTTTTGAAATTTGAGACAAAAATTGCCAAAAACTGAAATTCTGCTTACTAGGCCATTGGTAGCCATTTTTGCATTCGTCGATTCATTCTTTTTCTTGACTTGATGGGAGCCAATTTATTAAACTGTTTGATATTTAAATTCTACCATAGAACTTATTAATTAATTAATTCTTTTTTTTTCAAAGAAACTTCTACAGGTTACTGTAATACTTTTCACAAAACTTCTGGATTCCTCCTGCGTCGGTTTTTGTTGAATAAAACTTGCTGACGTTTCGCTAATCATCCTGTTGACCTTTTCAGAGCTTAATTGAAACTGAGTCAGCTCTGAAGAAGCCAACAGGATGATTAGGGAACGTTAGCAGGAGGTGTCCAGAAATTTTGTGAAAAGTAATTTATTTATTTATTGCCTTCGGCCATATCATTGTTCTGTGTCTTCCAATCTATACTCTATATTTATTGTTAAGATAGTCCGTTACTCGTGGACATTATGAAGCGGTGCTCCATCTTGTTGCCAAATAACTTCGTAAGCCTTGTTCAGTAGCATATTACCTATAAACTCGTCTACATCTGCTGATATAATCCTTTGTGATCTGTTCCTTGATAATGCACTTTCATAAAATATAGGGCCTGCAATTTTGTTCTTTTTAATACCTTGTATTGTAAAAGAAATCTAGTCTTTCTAACATAAGCCCACAACATACACACAAATGTGAATTGTTTTCTTCCGTAAGGTGATCCACATTCATGATTTTAAAAGAGTGCCACTTGTTTTTCTTTAAAATGGCCACGTAGAACGTATAATATAAACGATTCTCTGAAAAATATACTTCAATTATTACTAAAAAATATCCAGCGCAAAATCTGGAAAATAATATTTTTCAATAAACTTTTTTGGAGACGCCTTGTTCCGTTGCCAGTTTTTTTTTTGTTGTTTTTAAGGTACAGATTGAAAATTTCCTTTTTTTTCTGTGAAAATTGCTTAATTAAAACTCAGTTATAGCAATAAATAGAAAACGATAGAACGACTAAAGACCCCTCACGTAAGGCTATTAGGTACAAGGTATTCCATAAAAGAAAAATATGTGAAAATAACATGGAAGAAAACTTTCAACAGTACCCTACAACTTTTATATTAAACTTCATTTTCTAGAAACGGCAGGAAAAAAGTTAGAGTAGTGGACATATATAAAAGATCACCCCGTACACTCACGAATATTGGTCAAGCGCCAGAATCAGCCGGCGAAAAGTAAAATACTATTACTTAATACTTCCAGACGACTGCGTTTGTTTGCTATAATCGCTTATTGACCACTCATAAAAATTCAAAAACGTATTTTTGAAGTCAGGAAGAGTACAAACAAGATAAATATATAACATATAAACAGTTAGACCACTGTAACCAGAAAGCAAAACTTTGTATATATAGGTACACTCTAAGAATAATTAATTTACAAAATAAATTAGATCTACTGTTCCTGATATGTAACAAATTCGTTTATAGAATAGAAATAATGCCCTTCAAAAAACTTTTTTGATAATTGTTTAAGTTTTTTAATGGAAAGTCATTTAACATCAATATTTTTGGACTGAAAAAGAGTATTTGCAAAAATGTTATACAAATCTAGATTAAGTTTAGTTTTTTGTTTAGTACACAACCTGGATATTTGAGTCATGTAGCTGTGATGGCCAGCATGAGTCGGAAACACAGACAAATTTGAGTGCAATTTCAAAAGATAAACATACACAACGTAAGTATTTTCAATTTTTTGAATATTGGGCGGCAATGGCTGGACGGCGGAACACCCTCTAGAACCCGAACCGCAGACTTCTGCAATCTAAAAGCTCTGTCGGCCTCCACCGCGTTCCCCACAATAGTAGCCCATATGATAAGATACTGTGAAACAATGCAAAATAAACTATCCGGAGAGTGCTTTGCGAGATGGAACCTCGTAATTGTCTCACCTGAGTAGATAATTTACCGTATAAGTAGTCTGAGGCGGCCAGGTTAAGAACGTATCTAGGTAAACACCAAGGAGTTTGTCGGTTCAGATTTTTTACTTCTTCTATCGGTATTGAAAATTAGAGTCTTTGTTTATCGGAATTTAATTTAAGTTCATTTGCAGAGAACCACTGCTCAATCATGGAGAGTGTAGTCACAGCCTTTTTATTTAAATTAGTTAGATGTTTATTCTATTCAATCAATGATGTGTCATCCGTATCGAGTATACCGCAAGCAGCATTTGTTGCAAATACCACGTCATTTATGTATATTATAAACAAAAGTGGACCAAGGATGGAACCGTGAGGCACTCCATTAGTAGGGTCCAACAAAGTAGGTTCCCGATCATTCCAGATAACATATTGCTTTCTTGGGGTCAAATAAGATTTTAAAAGGGCTAGGGTATTTTCACGAATCCGTGGTATTCAAGTTTAGAAAGAAGTATGCAGTCGAATGCCTTGCTGAGGTCGCACATCGTTACTGAAGTCGACAAGCCCTCCTCAAATCCGTCAACCACATGCTCAATCATTGTGTATAAGGCACGGATGGTGGACCTACCAAAATCTGTTTATAATTTCCTTCCCTCAAAGTAAGCGACAAGTTTAGCTTTTATTGTAGCCTCAACACTTTTTCCAATAATAGGAACGATTGCTATGGGCCTGAAATTATCTAAGATGTTTGTATCCCCTTTTTTATGGAGTGGAGTAATAGGTGAAGTAATAGGTTATTGATTGTTTAATGATATTTGCATTTAGACCATAATAGTCAAGACAATGAGAGTTTTTTAATAATGTCCCGAATACGACCATTGAACAACCCTACCGCTAGCCCCCCCCCCAGCTTTTTTTACATCTTTTAACGACAACGCGATCTCCATTAGCCGTAAGTCGAGCCGTTCCTATTAGCGCTGCCGCGTTCCTCAGGAAATTGATTTAATTAGAGCCACTTACAAGCCGCGCTCTGTCACAAAGCAGCATCTCTCCAGCTAACCGAGTTATAAATCGTAGCGTCAATTTCGCACCCGGGGTGTCGGTGACGACCTTGCCTTTTGCCTAACCGACTTTTAAAGCGCCGTCGCCTTCGAATAAATTAAATCCGCTGTTTAAACATTTTTTACGATATGGTCGTTTACGATTATCTGACTGACATTAAAGGC